TCAAGCTACATAATCACATAGTTTATAAAATGAAATGATTATTCCTGCCAGTGTTTTCCCAGAATGTCCCCTGGTCTCTGGGGCACAGGAGTAGGGGAGGAGGAAGGCTCAGAGGAAGAATTAAATTTACTGTGATTCTTTCTCATGCTACCCGACAGACTCATCACTTCTATCGCACTGTAGACAGAGACCCATGGAGTCAAAGGATGATAAAAGCATGCCTAGGTGTGAAGGTTCCTGCAGGTAGTCCTAATCTTCTCATAAAATGAAACAACAAGCGTATTTATAGAGAAAGTAAGCAAAATCTATAGTTTTAACTTTAATTAAGACATTAAATAATATCTTAAATGCTAATAATTCATTAGATTTAAAATTAAATACTGAATGCATAACAACTTGAAGTAATAAGTAATTAAGCCTTAAAGAACCTTAAGATCAATGTGGGAAGGAGTGAATTCTGAAAACCTTTTATAAGTTTTTTTTTTAACCCTGCAAGAGTGGTGCTTGAGGTTCAGTATGAAAGCCCAGGTAAATAGAACTGAACTTCAATATGATTTTTCAAAGTACTTAAAGTCAAGAGGAAGTAAAATGACTAAAGACTGGACTAACAAATAGAATATATTCTCTTTCCTTCTTTATCTTAATACATTCTTTTTGAATGTTTCACAAATGTATACTTTCTACAGACATCAGACATCTCTAGTACAGAGTATTTTCAGAGGGCACTATATGTACACAGAAAGAGATGAAACTTTTAGGGAGAGTATTATTTGACAAATGTGGTTTCTACCCAATTTTAGAAATTTCACATCAGGACTAATCTCGCTAAGACAATGAAATGCTCTTCAATATTATATCCAAAGAGAAAAAAATGAGCAATTTGAAAATTAGTATTAACATGTTGGTAGTTAAGTATAGACTCAGAATGGAAACTGATGTATGTCCTTTAAAAACCAACGAATACTACAAATAACTTTATGTACAATTCAAGGTAAATGCTGAAATTTTAGAGTAGGTAATCTTAAAAATCCTTGAGGCCTTTGCTGCCAAATTCCACTTCTGAAACTACTAGGGCTGCTGGTGAGAAGGAAATTGTTACCCTCAGCTATAAACATCCAATGGCCCTTATAAGTAACTTGTACTCTTAGCAGCGAAGCTCCCAAATATCCATTCTATCATGATTATAAGAAATTGGGAAATCTGAGAAATATCTTTCAACAGATATAAATATATACCAATGATTTTGGGAAATTCAAAAAATGCAAGCATAATCTGGAAATTTTGTCATGGAGTATGAGCAGATTAGGAAGTAATTATGAATCAAAAGTAGAGAAAGATGATTTTAGGGGAAGACTTACTCTTGTCTTGGCATTGTTATTAATACCATGTTATTTATCATCATTAGAGACATCACAAGAGATATGAGACATTTCAAGCTGAATAATAAAAATAATTTAAACAAACTTCCTACAATCCATAAACAGCCAATAAACACATGAAGAAATGTTCAGTGTCATTAGTCATCAGGAAAATACAAATAAAAACAATGAGATAAAACCTACCACAAAAGCTGCAATGAAAAAGTCTGACAAGTACTGATGAGGATGTGAAACAACCTGAATTTTCATATATTGTGGGTAAGAGTGCCAAATGGTACAGTCATTTGAGAAAAAGTTCTGGCATTTTCTTATGAAATAAAAGATAAATCTATCTTAAGTGACCCAGAATTCTTCTCCTAAATATTTACCCAAGAAAATGAAAGCACGTTTCCACAAAAAGCCTTGAACAAGAATGTTCACAGTGGCTTTATTCATAATTGCCAAAATCTGGAAGATCAGTTATCTAACAATAGAATCGATAAGCAAATCATGGTATAGTCATACAGAGAAATACTACTCAGCAATAAAAAGGAGTTAACAGTATATGCAACAACATGGATGAATCAGAAACATTATATTGAGTGAAAGACTTACATAAATGGGTATATATGAAATTCCACAACCAATACTAATCCCTGGTAGAAAAAAGATCAGACCAATTGGGCCTCTGTGGAGTACACAGATTTACTGATAAGGCATGAGGGAACTTCCTGGGAGAGTGGTAATATACTGTATTGTGAAAGGGTTTGGTTTGTACATATGTATATTTGTCAGAACTTATCAAGTACCATACTTGAAATGTATGTCTTTCATTGCATGTAAATTTTGCCTCAAAGGAAAATATAAACCACTGAGCTCTAGTCAATGATTTATGTGGTGAACTAGTTGATGCCTGTAGTTTACTTTGATATGTTTCAAAACATATAATGGATTGACAGATGGAGAGTTTGAAATGAGACAAAGCAAGTATTTTAACATGTTAACTGGATATTCATTAAATTCACTAACGTGGTTGGGTAGCCACTAAAGTTCTTGAAAGTTTCCTGTTTAAAATTTTTCCTATATAATCTAGGCAGGGGAAGGTGATTATGAGTACCTTATAAAATATTCAAACAAAGGTTATACAATAAATATATTTTCCTTCCATTTCTGACTACATTCTTTCGGTTCTCTTTGAAGACCAGTAGCTTACTATTACCTAATGCATTATTATCCAAATTTTAAAAAGAGATAGATACCTACTGAATTTTTTCCTTTTTTTGGAAAGGTAATGTTTTATTAACATTTCTTATTAACAAGAGAAGAGGACACCTTAATAAAATATAAATGGACATCAACAAACCATGTATAAAATGAACAAATGAATAAAATTAATATTTAATTTATGCCAAAAATATGTTCCTTTTTTCTTTAACAGCTTTATTGAGATATAATTCACATACCAATAAAATATAGACAAAGGACATCAACAAATCATGTATAAAATGAACAAAAAAATGAATAAAATTAATTTGTTATGCCAAAAATATGTTCCTCTTTTTCTTTAACAGCTTTATTGATATATAATTCACATACCACATAATTCACCCATTTAAAGTCTACAACTCAATGTTTTTTTTAGTATGTTCACAAAGTCATGCAAACATCACTACCATAAAGTTTAGAACAAGTTCACCACCCCATAAGAGAAGCCCTGTACCCTTTAGCTACCACCTCCAGGTCCATGATTTCCTAACTCTAGGCATCCACTAGTGTCTTAAGACTTGCATATTCTGGACATTTCATATAAATGGAATCATACAACAGGTGGCCTTTTATGACTGGTTTCTTTCCCTTAGCGTAATGTTTTCAAGGTACATCTATGTTGCAGCATATATCAGTACTTCACTTTGTATGGACAAATAATATTCCATTGAATGGATATACCACATTTTGTATATACATTCATCAGCTGATTGGATTATTTTCAGCTTTGGGCTATTATGAAGAATGTTGCTATAAATATTCATTTATAAGTTTTTGTGTGGACAAATATTTCATTTCTCTTGGTATCTACCAAGGAGTGGAACTGCTGAATCAAATGATAACTCTATTTTAATTTTTTAAAGACTCGCCAGACTGTTTTCTAAATTATGTGTACCATTTTACATTCCCATTAGCAATGTAATAGGGTTCTGATTTCTCTATGTACTCACTGACATTTTTAATTATATTTTCATTATAGCCATCATTGTGTGTGTGAAGTGGTACCTTATAAGGTTTGATTTTTCATTTCCCTGATGACCAATGATTTTGAGCATCTTTTCACATATTTATTATCCATTTGTATATCTTCTTTGAAGAAATGTCCATTCATATTCTTTGACCATGTTTTAATTTGGTTTTCTTACTATTATTGAGTTATGAGTTCTTTATCTATTCTAAATATAAGTTCTTTATCAGATAATAAATATCTGTTATTTTCACCTTCTTGACAGTGCCTTTGAAGCATAAAAGTTTATAGTTTTGATTAAGTCCAATTTATCTATTTTTTTCCTTTGGTTTTTTCTACTTTTGGTATCACATCTAAGATGTACTGTCTAATCTAAGATTTACTCCTACATTCTCTTCTAGGACTTTTATAATTTTAGATCTTACATTTAGGTCTATAATCCATTTTGAGTTAATTTAAGTATACAGTATGAGGTAAGGGTCCAACTTTACTCTTTTATATGTAGACATCTAGTTCTACATATCAACATTTTTTCAAAAAACTTTTCTTTCCCCTACTGAATAGTCCTGGCACCCTTGTTGAAAATCAGTTGACCATAGATATATGTGTATATTTCTGGACTCTCAGTTATATTTCATTTATCTCTATGTCTATCATTATGCCAGCATATTTTCTTGTCTACTGCTGCCTTAAAGTTTTGATGTATTCTTTTCTTACATTTTTTTCACTGTAGAGTTTGATCAAAAGGACTGCGCATTTAAAATTTTGACACTGACAATTTGCCCTTCAAAAGGGTATACCAATTTTCACCCCACCAATGATGGAGAAGAAAGCCTACTTAACCCTACACCTTTTGCAATGCAGTGTATTACTAAACTTTTAAATCCTTACTCAATATGATTTTTCTCACTTTTTGATCTTTTCTGTTGTGATGAATCCCACTTGGTTATAAATGCATGCAAGAAAAAAAAAAAAGAATGACTAATACAAATGTTTCTATCAGCAACTACACTTTTTGTAATAGTTTAAAGGGGAAAGTGACCTTTAAAGTACTGTTATTTGTAAAAGAGAGAAAAATGATTGAACACTACATGTGCTGATTAACAAGAAAATGGTTAATATGGTATATTCACTAAGCAGAGTATATCAAACTATTAAAGACTATAAACATGATGTCTGTAGCCATGTGAAAAAATCTTATGTTAATCTTTAAAAGGATATAAAATTGTATGTATGCTCTGTACACTGATTTCTAACTGCCTTAAAATTACATAGGCATACAGAAATGGGAATATATAAATGACTATGGGTAATTTTAATTTCTAAACATTCTATAACTTTTTAGAATTAAGTTCAAAATTAGGGATTATGTTTATAAATCCATTACTTTACAATAAAAATATACTTACTGTGATGATGCCAATTAGTTGAGTATAAAAGAGTCCAGTTATTCCAACTAACATAGTAATGCCCATAAAGGCCGCTAGTCTCATTACGGCCAATTCATGTCTAACAACAAAAAGTTCCTATAAGAAGAAGAAAAATGAATGCTTACGGACAATTCAAAAAGTTACTTGTAGTTGCAATAATAATCAAGAATTGAGCCATAACATTTTCCCTCATCTCAAATGAAGTACTCTCATCCATTTTGAGTTTATTCCACTTAATCAATATATATTTGAGAATTTCAAATAATTTTTAATTCATAGTAGCAAGCTGAAAAACTGTTTCTAAAACATAGTAGCAAGCTGAAAAAACTAGAAACTAGTACTGTTGTGTCAAAAAACCCTCAATCCTAAGGTTGCAAATCAGTCATGCTCATGTACTCTTTGTAAAAAAAAAAAAAAACAAAAAACCCTCCTATCATGTATTCTTTGTAGCAAAAAAAAAACTCTCCTAAAAACAAAACAGAGTACAACCTTCAGTACGATAAAAGGAAAGTTTATTATTATACTGTTAAAAAGCTTGAATGCAAAAGCTTGATTCACAGTATAAAAGTTCAAGTGACCAAGATACCTAAAATGATCAACTTAGTCAAAATAAGTGGAAAACACAAATAATAGGATCTTATGGAAAGCTCTCTTCAAGCCCACTTCATTCATTCATCCATCCACTCACTCAACCACCACTGCCAAGCACTATGCTATGTAATAGGAAGGTAAAAATGATATAGTCCATGTCCTCAAGAAGCATGCAGTTTATTTAGAGAAAGAACCCAACTCCAAAACAAGGTGATATATTCCACAAAAGGAATGTGTGCACAGGGAACTGTAGAAACAGAATGGAATGCCTAGACAGGAAAGAGAAAAGGAAATGCTGTGTGGGAAAGCTGATTTTCTGGCTAAGAGCACAAAAATGAGACTCTTAAAAGTGAACCAAAGAAACTGTGGTAAAAGGACAGGAAAAAAGAAGAGAAGCATTTGATTTATCCTCACTGTTATCACCAGGCAGAAAAGAGCCAGTGAAAAAACTGACTTCTCCTGGAAACCTGTTGTTAAACTTTAGAATAAAACTGAACAGTGGATAATAGCAATAAATGAATGGGAAGGTAACCACCCCATATGCTTTTTTTAAATAGTGATTCAGGTTAAGACTTAAAAGTATCTGTTGGCAGTACCAAAAATAAGGAGGTCACTTAACATAATGCGTATGCTGGGAAAAGAGAAACTGATGCTTTTCTGTATCCATAAGCAACCACCAGATTCAAGCAAAAATCTGACTCCACACCACATCAGTCAATGTTAGCCTGGAGAAATTTAAAATTCACCAAGACACCTGAACTGTTACACAGCAGCCAAACTTTAGGCAGCCATTTCAAAACCTCAGTTAAAAGAGCCTAATGCAGACTTGCTGCACTGATGGACAGTGACTGCATTGGAGTATGGGTGAGGACTTGATAATATGTGTAAATGTAGTGACCACATTGTTTTTTCTTGTGAAACCTTCGTAAGAGTATTAATCATACCTGAATAAAAAATGAATAAATGAATGAATGAATACAAATGAATGAATGAATGAATGGACAGACAGATAAACAAACACACAAACAAATAAATAAATAAAAGAAGTGAGGGGGGAAAAAAAGAGCCTAATGCAGAATTCTTGCAAAATATGTAAAGATGAAAAGTTGGGACTATGAATGATATAAAAAATTAAGTGTAGTAAGATCTGCTACAATGCTGTTTGAAAACAAAACTTTTTTCCAACATGATTAAAATGTTAAGTGATAAATTGAACATAGCAAGCATTTTTAGATTGCTTACGTGTGATTTTCCCCATGGGAAACCCTAGATGAACACAGAAAACTCCACCCAGCCCAACGAAGACATATAGGGAGACACAAAACAAACACACATCCCTCAAATATCCACAGCTATCTCAATTTATATGTTATGAGTCACACTCATCCACATCTGGTATTTCAATGCTTCCTCCAATTTCATACGACCCTCCTTCCACCACTTCACCATGATTCACAAACTACAACCATTCTGATGCCCACTTCCATAAGAAAACTCTATGTCTCTTTCAAAGTGAAGTGCTGTGTTCATTACAGTATTTCTGTATTTCTTAATTATTCAACGTGTAAAACTGTGCTGCTGTTTTTATTAGGTTCCTACCGTCTTAAGTGTCACTAACAGTTTTCAAAGGTTGTGCTTCTGTGTTACCACAAGTTCTGTGGTTTCCACTGGATGATATTGCAGTGAGAATATTTTACATAGATAAATGCATAACATACAACTTCAGATTAGAGAGAAGTAATACTACCCTCTCAAGAATGAAAACAGTTGAAACCATGCAGAGGCTTGCCTGTGTGCTTCCCTTCCTCAACCCTACCCTTCTAAAGGTAACGGTCACTGATTCATTCTTTATACATTTTAGATACTACTATGTTTGGGTTGCATACTGCAAATATCCCCTCCTACTCTGAGTTTACCTTTTCACTTTTCATGGCATCTTTTGATAACACCAAATTCTTAATTTTAATGTAGTCCAATTTATCAGTCTTTTCCCCTAGTACTTTTTATTTTTTGCTTACAAAATCTTTCCCATCCCTGAGATAATGATGACATTCTCCTATATTATCTCCTAAAGCCTTTAAAAGCTTTATCATTTTGCTTTTCATATTTAAGTCACTAACTCCCCAGAATTGATGTTTATTATTTTATGCACAGTGAAATGCAGAGGTCTGGATTTACTTTTACTACATGGATATCCAATTGTTCCAGGACAGTTTTTAAAAAGCTTTCTTTTCCTCAGTGACAAGAGGTCAAGTGTTCGTACAGACCTTATGTAGAGTCTGATGTGAGCTCTCTATCTGTTCTCCTGGTTTGTTTATCCCTGTACCAGCAATACATGTCTCGTTTCCTATGACTTTGTAATAATTCTCCATACCTGATAGGCCAAGGCATCCCATCCTGCTCTTTTTCAAAAATGTCTTGGTTATTCAAGATAATGTGCATTTCCATAAAAATTTTAAAATTAGGTTTTCAAGTTACAATACACACTCAGACACACACACACACACATAAACATATTCTTTCCATTAAGAGTCACAATTTCCCCCTAAAGGTCTTGAACTTTTTTGTCATATTTAATTCAGGAACTTCTTATCTCTTAATTCCATTATAAATGGTTTGCTATTCATTTCATTATCTAAAAGGGTGGTTTATTACCATACAGAAATAGAATTTTTAAAAACAGTTTTGTATTCACACTTCTTAAAAATCCAAAAGAATCTATGGATAAATTACTTACACAATCTTATCAGTGAAGTAATTAGTTTCATTTCTTTCAGCAGTTATATCACTTCCTTCTCCTGAGTCACTGCACTGGCCAGAACTCTAAGCATTGCTGAATAACGTGGTGATGGGGGCATAATGGACATCAGTGTCTTGCCCCCAATTTGAAGGGGAAAAGTTCAACACTTCATGATTAAGCATATTGCAGCTGTTGTGTTTTATGTGTTGGTTTTTTGTGTCTTTCATTTTGGAAACTTTTTCTTTTAAGTTCTCTAGTTCCCGTTTGTTAAGAGTTTATGACACATGAATGGATTTTATGAATTTTATCTTTGTCTTCAGAAACGAATATATACATTGTCTTCATACATATTATTTTCTTCGTGATCTGCAAATATGATTAAATACACTGATTTTTCTAATGTAAAAATAACCTTTTTTTTCCAAAAATAAATTTAACTTGGTCAGGCTGGTTACATATTAACAAGATTGGGTTGGCTGATATTTTTTTTAGTAGTTGTTTATCTATGTTCATAATCATACTACTCTATAATTTTCTCTTTCTCTTATTACACTTGATAGGTTATGCATACACAACATATGCTATCTATATACAGAAAATGATTTGGAGAGAGTTCCCTCTCTTTTTCTTCTTTTAAAGAGTTGGTATAAGACTGGAATTACTATTTCCTTTGTATTTGATAGAGCTAGAACTCACTGGTAAATCCATGAATATTCTTTGCAGGAAAAGTTTCAACTACTGACTCATAATTATGGACCACCCATGTTTCCAATTTCTCCCTGAAGCACTTTTCTTCTTAAAGCAATACCATGCTTATGATCAAAAAGGGCAATAATGTAAAGAAGTCAACTATCCAAACTAATGTACAGAATTAATCAATCCCAATAAAAATCCCCCACCAGTCTGCTGGTGGGAGTTTTTAATTTTACTTTGTTTTGATTTGTAGAAATTGCTAAGTAGGCTGTTACTAAATTTCACAGGAACAAACACGAAGAATAGCATACCACTCCTATATAAAATATTAATCAATCCCAATAAAAATCCCCCACCAGTCTGCTGGTGGGAGTTTTTAATTTTACTTTGTTTTGATTTGTAGAAATTGCTAAGTAGGCTGTTACTAAATTTCACAGGAACAAACACGAAGAATAGCATACCACTCCTATATAAAAAGAACAAGGGAAGAGGGTTTGCTCTACTTTACACATTCTCCTTAGGGGAGTATCACCCCCAGGAGGGAGAATATAAGTTCTTGGAGGGAAAAAAAAAAAATCTTAGCTATTACAATGGCTTATGGCCATACACAAATCAATCCTACCTGACAAAATCTTCTTCCCTAATATATTTAACTTCATAGAGGGAAGGGGAGAAATAGTCCAAAAGGGCTCCACAGGGGAGCAATAATACTGGGAGAAAAAAAATTGAGAAACATTCCTCTGGATAACAAGATTTATTATAATATTACAACAGTTATGGCAGTGTGGTGCAACCACAAAGACAGACAAATAGACCAGTGGACTAGAAAAGAACCAGAAACAGATATACATATACATGGCCCTTGGTTTATGACAAAGATGGTACTGCAGAGCGGAAAGAATTAGCTTTTCAATAAATGGTGCTAAATCAATTGGATAGCCATCTGTGAAAAAAACAAAACTCTGACTCTACCTCATAGGAATCACAAAAATCAATTCCAGGTGGAAATATGAAAAACATTATACTTGGAAGACAATACAGGAGAATTATATTAATGATCTGCGGATATAAA